GGAAAGTAACGTAATCTAATTACCGTTTTTGCAATAGTAATCCCTTACTTTACTCGTTACTTGAAAAAAGTAATCAGATTACAGTAACGCGTTACTGCCCATCTCTGGACATGAGTGGGGAAAAATTGTTAAGTTAATGATGCTTTGAAGTGAGACAGTAATAAATAAGGTATAGGACTGTAATAGATACGCTGTGGCCTTGTTTTGGTTAGAAATCAGTGTGTTGATCACACCGAGTGAGCACTGAGGCTGTAACAAGTAACAGGAAATGATATTTAAACTTTATTTAAATTTTAATATAAATTCCTGTGAATTTCTTCATTGATGTTGTCAGGTGGGGCTTTAATGTTTTAGCCTGGCCCAAATTCTTCAATGTCATCTCAAGTCAACCTTTAGCTGAAACTTAGACACAGTTGAGTTTTCCAGCAGGACGATGATCCCACTCTCTGGTTAGGGAGAGATAACCCGGCTAATATTAATCTTAACCAAACATTGCTGTAGGTGTATGTATATATTAGACTTATATACTTTTGATCCAGTGTGGCTCAGAGAAAATCCAAATTAAACTTGTTCAACCAATTGTTGCTTTTTTAAGCCGTAAATAGAAAATGTCATGAGAATATTCATTTATTTTTCCGAGTATTCGCTGTTTTTTTGTTCTGGGCCTACTCAGTGCTATAAAAAGTTCTGAATACAGGCTGACATATGGAAAAGTTACACTGCTTATTTTGGGAATTTGATCTTTTGTATCTGTTGATGAGTGAATCACTGATGATTGCACGTGTGAGTCACAGCGATCCGGGCTAGAAACCTTTAAATAAACCAAAAGCTAACACACATTCAGTAATGCAGCTTCCTTTTGTTTGAAAACGCATAACTAAATAATAAATAACAATTTGATGATGTTGACATTTAGTTTCTGTTGTGTATCTGAGGCCAGAGGAAATTTTTGAAATGTTTTTAATTGGCTTTAATGGAAGAGTATGTGAACTAGGGCTGCTCGATTATGGCAAAAATGATCATCACGATTATTTTCACTGAAATTGAGATCTCGATTATTTGACGATATTTATTTAACCCTTTAAGACCTACCATAGAACCAAGTCCGCCAGAGCTTATATTATTTTTTTACATGCTGTAGAGCCATTTGTGGGAGCATTTCAAGTTGCTATACATCAATACAACTGTTATAGCCCATATTTTAATAATATGTATGCATTAAGTCCATAGTAACTACATTAATTGCAATAAACTACAAAACAATTGAAAATTTTTGTTTTTTTTACATATATTTCTACTTGGAGAAATTTAAGAGGTTTATCCCTCAAAACTTTAAATACAAAAAAGTTGCAAAAATAGTTTACAACAACAGGAAATTTATTTTGAGTTTCTTCATAGTTTTATTTTGGAGATACAGCAATTTTTATATACTGCAGGAAAAACAAAAAACAATCCTATGATGCAAATTTGCAAAGAAAACAGCATCAAAATAAACTATTTCCAGCTGTGCAATTCGAGTTCTAAGCATCCCAGAAACTATTCAGAAAAGTCAAACATGACTTATAAAAACACCAGTATAGGCTTTTAAGGCCTACAAGTAAAAAAAACTACATTTTCCGTGAAAATGACATCACTTCCTGTTTCTGGCAGGAAATGGCGGACATGCGATAGTTTGCGCTGACGTCTGTTTC